ACTCTCAATCTGATTCTCACTCATGGGATGTCATCCCTCCGAATTGTATCCAAGACTTACTTCCTATTTCATTTTAAGGATTTATAAAAGTTTTTTTTTATTTAAAAAAAAAAAACTCTTCATTATTATTAATACAATACTATTTATTATACCACATTGAATATTTCTCTTGTATTTCTATATATTCTTGTATACATAGCGTATAGGTTGTATAATTATTATTAATTTTTTTTTTTTTGAAAATCAAAAGACTTCTTTGTTGTTTCGACCAACCCGCATAGGCAATCCCAAATACTTTCCTATATTGTCAGATTGAGCCACATTAAATATCGCAGCCACTGCATTTATCCTCTCCTCCATCGTGTTCCTACTAAACACAATACATGACTTATTAAAATTTACAGATTACCCGACATCCGTTCATAAGTCATCAAGCAACCTTTCACCGCTTCAGCTTCTGGAATTATGGCCTTGAAAAATAGAAGACTGTCATCTGCGAGAACAAATGAGAGACACCGGGAGCACCTCTAGCCACAATACATGGTGAGATATCTTTCTTCAAATTATTAAACCTATCAAATTTGAAATCAATATTTATGAAATTGTTTGTTGTTTGAATAATCTATGGTAAATCTGATTTGTGAAAGAGAGTAAAAATTGAGAGTACATATAATATTTTCTTTAGTTTTTGGTGCAAGTTCTAGTGTACACCAGAGTTTTAATTAGGCCATTACCCCATCAAGTATAACATTGTGATTGGTGATATATATTCAGGAATATATAAGGAATTCAAGAAGAGTGACTAGTGAGCTTCCATTTTTAATAAACTTTAAAATTATGATTGTACAATAATTTAATTCTTTTTTTTTTCTGTTTGAGAAAATACAATTTAACTCTTAATTAATATATAGTATGTGTTCTTATGTTGCAATTTTAACTTTTAATTTTTTGAGTACATTTTAACTTTTAATTATTAAGTTGCGATTGAATAGTGGATTTAGTTAATAGGAATAAACTAAAATAATAATATTATTACGTAAAAACTATTAATATAATTCATGTAAATGCATTGGTTTGAGAATAGTTCTCCCAAAATTTTATCAAAATTTGGTTGAATTAATTTCATCTTGCTGGATGGAATACTTGTGGAGTTGTGATTAAAGTAAAATTATTTAGTTTTTAATAATATCCTCAAATTATTAATCTTGATAAATTTTATATGTGTCTCAGTGGCAATGTGAGTATTTATATGAGAGCTAGGGTGGGGGACATCCTAGGTGTTAGAAGTGTGGGAGAAAATGGGAACTACAAGTCTTCCTATGTTGGTAGGCCGAAATAGGAGGCAGATTTTTGCCTACATAAAGGGTAGAATCTTTAGTCGTGTTCAGGAGTGGGGTCATAGGTTCCTATCTAGGGCGGGGAGAGAGGTTCTTTTGAAAAGTGTGATCCAAGCCATTCCATCATATGCCATGGTGTCTTTCTATTACTTAAAGAGCTCATAAAGGAATCCTTTGTAAGTCTTAGAAACATTTATGCATCCCTAAGGATTGGGGAGTACTGGGGATTTAGAAGCCTAAGAGAGTTTAACCTTGCCTTTGTAAACAATTTTGGAGGTTACTGCAAAACCAACCATATGCTATCCCAATTTGTCCTTCTTTGAGGCCCAAAAATGTTCTAATCCCTCTTTTGTGTGGAGCAGTCTAATCTGTTGGAAACCAATGAATTAATCAGAAAACATAATAAGTGGAGAGTTGGAAAAGGCGATCAAATCCAAATTTGAAAAGACCATTGACTTTCATACAATAATAACCCAAGAACTACTTCCTTCCCGTACCCTTTAATGGAAAATGCTACGGTGAACATGCTCATGGATGCCCATGACAACATGTGGGACGAAGAAATAATTATAAGGAAAATTTGTAACTCCATGGATGCTGACTTAATCCTAAAAATTCCCTTGGCAAGACATCAAGCAAAGGACAAGGTGATTTGGGCTCCCGAAGAAGATGGTAATTTTTTAGTTAAGAGTTATTACAAAATTCTGAAAGGGAAATTAAGTCACGAGAATAAATTGAAATGGTCTTTGTTTTGGCATGAAAGTGAAAACATTTTTTGGCAGGTTTGTATTGGATGTTTACCAACTAAAGACCTCCTCAAAGCTAGGAAGTTAATTGTGATGATACATGCCCTATGTGCAATAAAGCTAGGAAGTTAACTGGATGGGTAGGAAGTCCCAATCAGCATGTTCTATAGTTATAAAAGTCAATAATTTTGATGAGGAATCGATGAGAGCTAGGGGAAGGTTTATAGCTGCGAGAGATACATAGTGGGGAGGATTTTACTCAAGGGAAGTAGAAGTTGCGGCCATAAGAGAAGTGCTCAGTTGGATTAAAGAGGAAAATTTCGCTAGAGTGCAAGTTGAAACGGATTCACTCCTAGTAGTTCAACACTTAAATCATTGTAGAAGAGAATCTTACTTCCATATTGTTATTAGAGATATTGAACACTTATTGATAAAGTTATCTCAAGTTTCTTTATCATTTATCAAAAGATCAACGAATCGAACAGCTCATGCTATAGCTAAGCAGGTCATTTCTAAGTGTTATTTGTAGAGTGGTGGACTAACCCTCCTTCTTATCTTTGTACTTTTTTAAATTTAGATCTTAATGATTAGTTAATTTCCCGTACAGAGGTCCCTTTGCCTGGTGGGCTTTTCCCTGGCCTCCCCCCAAAAAATATTATTCTTCATTCCCAGCTCTCTTTCTATCGGATCTCCGACGATTTCTATCCCCGTTTTACCCTTCCCAAAAAATCTCCGCCTGCGCTCGCTTCCTGCTGCCATAACCTAACCGCCGGTGGTAGCTTGCATTCTCAAACCTGCTGCCAATAAAAATATCAGAGGAGAGGGAATTAAAAAGATAAAAAAAAAAAAATAGAAGTGAATTTGTTTGAGAGAGTAGATTGGAAATAATGGCTCAGATTCAAATGGAGTTCCGCCGCCGGGTGCTGTCGGCCTCCCTGTTCCCCCGTCTGCGTCTGCCGCCGGGGCTGGAAACCAGTTATCCACCACGTCACTGACTCGCAGCTCTACGATCTGTTTAACCAGGTGGTATCGGTTAGGGTCTGTCTCGCCGATCTCTTGGCTATGGCTACGTCAACTATAGGATGCTGCAAGAGCAATGTAAGTATTGAACTTCACTCCTGTCCTGTCAATAGCAAGTCTATTAGGATAATGCATTCTCACCGTGACCCTAGCCTGCGTAAGAGTGGAACTGCAAATATATTTATTAACAACTTGGACAAGTCAATTGACAACATGACACATTTTCAAGCTTTGGAAACATTCTTTCTTGCAAGATAGCTACTGATCCTAATGGTCACGGTTTTGTACAGTTTGACAATGAAGATTCGGCTCAAAGTGCCATTGATAAGTTAAATGGTATGCTCATTAATGACAAACAAGTGTATGTTGGACCCTTTCTTCGTAAACAGGAAAGAGATACTGCTACGAATAAAACCAAGTTCTACAATGTTTTTGTGAAGAACATATCAGAATCCGATCTGACAAAAACCTTTGCTGAATTTGGGAATATTACTAGTGCTGTAGTGATGAGGGAAGATGATGGAAAGTCAAAATGTTTTGGGTTTGTCAATTTTGAGAACGCAGATGATGCTGCCAGGGCTGTCGAAGCTTTGAATGGGAAGAAATTTGATGACAAAGAATGGTATGTTGGGAAAGCCCAAAAGAAATCAGAAAGGGAACAAGAACTAAAAAAGAAGTTTGAGCAGAGTGCAAAGGAAGCAGTGGATAAAAACCAAGGTTTGAATTTGGATGACAGTATTGAATATTGATTATGACAAGCTCAAGGAGTTGTTCACTGACTATGGTACAATAACATGATTCAAGGTTATGCGGGATCCTAGTGGAATTAGCAGAGGGTCTGGACTGGATTTGTTGCCTTCTCAACTCCTGAGGACGCCTCTAGAGCGCTTTTGGAGATGAATGGGAAAATGATTGTTAGCAAGCCGCTTTATGTTGCACTTGCTCAGCGGAAAGAGGAGAGAAGGGCAAAGCTGCAGGCGCAGTTCTCAGAGATGAGACCAGTTGCAATGACACCATCACTTGCTCCTCGTATTCCAATGTATCCTCCTGGTATGCCACAACAACTCTTTTATGGACAAGGTCCACCTGCTATAATTCCTCCTCAGGCTGGATTTGGGTATCAACAGCAGCTTGTTCCTGGAGGGGGTCCTATGCCAAATTTCTTTGTGCCGATGGTGCAGCAGGCACCGCGTCCAGGTGGCAGACGTGGAGCAGGACCTGTACAACAAACTCAACAGCTCATCCCCTTGATGCTCCCAAGGGGAAGGATAGGTGGCCGTAATGTGTCAGATGGGCCTATGCCAGGTGTTGGGGGCATGGTTTCTCTTCCGTATGATATGGGTGGCATGCTTCCTCGAGATGCTGCGCCCGTTCCAATTACAGCACTAGCAAGTGCCCTTGCAAATCCACCACCTGAACAGCAGAGGACGATGTTGGGCGAGAATTTGTACCCACTTGTTGATCAGCTAGAGCACGAGCACGCAGCTAAAGTTACAGGCATGCTTCTTGAGATGGACCAGACTGAGGTTTTACATCTGCTTGAGTCCCCAGAGGCTTTGAAGGCCAAAGTTGCAGAGGCTCTGGAAGTTCTGAGGAACGTTCAGCAGGCTAAAAGCCCGGCTGACCAACTTGCTTCACTTTCCCTTAATGACAACCTTGTTGCTTGATTAAAAAAGCACTAGTTCAAGTGAATTCAGATGCTTATATCATGTCATGTAGGTTTTTGGTAAGCACATGTTGGGATCCTTCCTGCGGTTTTTCATGGGATTTCCTTTCCTTGACAAAAATTTTGGGATTCATAAAACTGTTGCCATTTACATTTTGTCATTTTGATAAATTCCCAAACAGTTAATTGGAAAAAAAAAATAAAAAAATAGGCCACTCCCACTGAGAGTGAAACTTGATTTTTGAGCTTTTGGTACAAGGATGTGATGGATTTTCTTTTAATCTTTCATTTAGGAGGTAGATAACAAGGGAAGGAACTAATGTTCTTAGTTTCTGTATTGATACACTTGTATGCACATGTAGAACTTAGCGCGGAATGTTCCCGGGTTAATCAGTCTAGGAAAAGTGATTAGATTGGTAAAGGAATGCAGTAACAGTGCATGAGTTGAGGTAGCTACCAGTAGGCTGAAAATATTATAGTCTGCATGGTTTTATTGTTGATTGTTATGCTAAAAGTATTTATAATTCTCTTACAGCAAAGTTTAGCCTTTACGTTCGAGATAGCTCATCTTCAATAAGATGCTCTATGTGAATATGATGAACTAGAATGCTTTACTTAAACAGGTGTACATTAGTTATTCCCTCTATTGGGTGATAATATTCTTCTGTTCATCCTTTGAAAGTTTACTGCCAACACCTACATTAAATATTCATTCGTTCTGATTCTTCTATATATGGAGATGTTATTAGATTTGAATGATCGCTTTTATCTTACCTTTTCTTCATTGTTGCAATATATCTTTTGAATCCCCCTTGAGAGTATTTTGAAGTCATCTTCTTGACATTCTTGTCTTGTAAACTATTTGGTTCACAGCTTCATTTTGTATGCAAAGTTTGGCTTGGTTTTGTCCTATGGAACAAGATTGCATTTCCCTTTCAGAGGTACGTAATCATTATTCTTATTGAATTGAAATATTCTTATCAAAACAAAAAGATAATCCAATTTCGATTATATTTTATATGAACTTGGTATGATAATGAATTATTAAAACCATTGGGTTTGCTAATCAAATAAGAAAAAAGAAGATCCAATTCGATTTATTTATGTGAATTTCTCATATTGGATTGAATTTACTCATTGAAACCTAAAAGAATCCATTTGACTTATGTTTACGTGAATTTAATTTTCTCACCAAAACATAAAAAAGAAGCCATTTTTTTACTTCTATCTTATAGGAAACAGAACATTTTTGTTTGGTAATATATTCTCGCTTTCACCTTCTGAAAACATTGCTTTTTGAAAGTTTAATTTGTGATATCTTACTTTTCCATTCAGTAGAACGTGACCTGGTGCACCAAGCTTGTTGTACCCTTGTTATTGTAAATTTGTAATCTGCCTATACTTTGAATTCAGTGAAAACACCGATGCATGAAAATATATTTACTTAACAAACAATGAACATTTTGTGGATGAAAATTTGTTACAAATGTGACTAGCATTTACTTCAAAGTTTGTGAACATTTGTTTCAAAAGCATTTAACATCAAAATGAACATCACTCTCAATTTTGATGAAGATCGCCCCAAGGCATCAACCATGATGAACATTTGTTGTGGGGGCAAAACGTGGTGGATCTGGAGTCCATAATATGCATATGAATTATTTATGTTATTTATCATTGCTTGCAGCATTCTCATTAAACAAATTTGGTGTGATCTTCATCGTGGAGCAATGGTAACAAATTGACAAGTTTTGTGATGACAGTTCATTGTGTTAGGAGGAAAGATAAATTTACCGAATTGAAGTGCTGATCCCATTTTAGGTAAATCTTATATCTTGTTGAGGAAAATTAATTCTGCATTTTTTTATGCATTACCTTTTGAGCTCTATTCAGTGATCATAGTGTATCTTAATATATTACTGTCAATTTTTCTGCATAGGAATGTCATTAGCCCTGATAGGAGAGTTAATAATTCAATAACCAATATCACATCGTACCACTGTCATATGTAATTCTTGCTTAGTTAAAAAAAATGGGGAAGTGTAATAAGATTTTTGGACTTCAAACTAAATTAAGTTGAAGAGGATAAATTTTCGGGGAAAGCTACCCTTCTTCCTTTTTGTGTTTGCCCATCAAGCATGACTTGCCTGCTTCTTTTATTTTATTTTGTCTATACATATGGTTTAGATTTAGATGTGATGCAGTTGGTGTTTTTGGCTTACCACTAGTTACGAATGGACTTCTATATTAACACTTGACCAACTGTGATTTCATGAAACCATCAATCTTTCTTATGTGATTTCTTGGCCTTTTTGAGTTCTACATTATCTTTATTGAAGTTGACGTCGAACACAAGTTCAAGGAATAAGACAAACACATTAGTTTTAGAACTCAAGAATAACAGTATATTTTTTCAATGCCTTGAAATATAAAATGCCTTACTATATAGGCCATATCCAAATGAAAACACAAGACAAAGGTATAAATGCAAAGTTTAGGGAATGGAAAAGGACATCTGGAGCCAACATAACATAAATACTAAATTTAAATAAAGCAACTAATAACTGCATGAGACTCCTCATTTCTGTAGCATGTATGAACCTTATTAGAAGTGGTGGGGGAACTATAGTGGGATCCCTATACTTTCCAACTCCCGTCCACCTCAGACCCACGGTGGGTGGACTTTTACCCACCCCTTTCCCACCGAATGCAGGTATCCACTACTTATCTTATTAAATAATGAGTTAATTCGATTTTTGGTCTAGATTTATAGGTGGCATTTCTTATTTGGTCATAGTGTTATTGTGGCATGACCATTTTTGGTCCTCTGTCAACAAAATCGTTGAAATGTCGTTAAATACAAGGACATTTTGATCTTTTTTATACAAAGTAGGTTGACCCACTATATTTTTTTATGTTAAATTATTTTTTAAAAAAATCCATAATTGAAAACCGAAATGCCCTTGTATTTAACGACATGTCGACATTTAAACTGTTTTGTTGATAGAGGACAAAAAATTGTCATGTCACAATAATACTAGGACTAAAAGTGGATGTTCTGAAAAAAAAAAAAAAAGGGACTAAAAGTGGATTGCCACCTATAAATCTAGGACAAAAAATGGAATTAACTCTTAAATAATTTTTAAATTATTTACACATAGTAAAATTTACTATCTATATTAAAACATAAAATAATAAAAATATTCATATATAATAACTAAATTGTTTTTTGTTTTTTGTTTTTTTCAATCAAATTTATCTATTTACAACTAAGAAGCAAAATTTAGGGCCATTTGTAGTTCTTGTAGAATTTTAACAATAACTATTGGTACTTATTCTACTATTAAGTATTAAATACTAAATGCTATATATATGTGTGTGTGCTAGTGTGGGTGTAACATGGTTGGTCGGGTTGGGTTTTATGCGTGTTTGGTATATAAAATCAGCATGACCTGAACCCATTACAAGTTTAGTTTTTAAAACTCAACCCCCACCAGCTTATCACCCGTGCAAGTCGGGTTCATGTGAGTACTCATAGATTAGATTAGATTAGAATTGCCATCCCTATGGAGGGGGCGTGCTAATTAAAGTAAAAATTTGAAATGAGAGGGTTTTTTTTTGGTATCTGCATAATCATAGACCAACCCGCTTTTTCATACGGTGATCAGTCTTCGCTAGTTGTAAAATTTTGAAAGGAGTGGGGGCTTTTGGTATATAAATCCCATTTCTTATTTCCTCGCTACTCTTTCCAATTTCATTTGGCGATAACCCCAAACACCAACTTCGAGCAAATCGCAGATAGAGGTACAGAGAGTCAGAGAGAGCACAAAAATTACTTCATTAATTTTTAAATCGGTGTAGATTTCTGTTTGGTTGTTTTGTTTATCGTGGTTAATCAGAACTTTTTTAGATTTATCAATGACGTATACGATGTTTGGGTTTTTGAGTGTTTATGTACTGAAAGTTTTGATCTTTGATTGAGTTCTTTTAGATTCTCTGTTGCCCTGTGGGTACTTCTCGTTTTTCTTTTGAATTTTTTATGTGATGGATGCTTGATTTTTTTTTTTTTTTTGTTAATTCTGATCACGATTATTGATTTCTTTTACTTGTTAGTGAATTTTATTTTTCTTGTGTTGGGGCTTCTGTGATTTGATGATTTCTTTGTTTTATGCAGAATTTTTTGGCAAAGATGGTTGGATCAGATGAGAATGATGCAGGTGTTGTCAGGGATTCAGATCTCCCGGGTAATCTAAAACTTAAAAATTTCCATTTTCTTTTATCCCTTATCTTGTGTTACTCAACGTTATTGAGAAATTATACTTGATTATTTGTTCTTGTAATTTTACGTTTGGCAAAAAACCCATCTTCGATATGGGAATTTTATGATCAGGAGGATCAAGGGCTATAGGAGGAAAGATATCTAGTGAAATGGTGGAAAGTTGCAGGGCATTGAATGCCATTGATGTGAATATCGTTCAAGCAGAACCGCGTGCATCGTCTGTGCACAAGAGAAGTGCCGTTCCCGAGTAACATTTTCTTAATCCTTGGTCTTCATTTGCTCTTTTCTTTTATCTTAATGTTTTGGACTGGCCCTGATTTTATTGCGTTTGTTCTTCCTATTTTGCATAGCGAAAATGAAAATGCTGCTAACAAGAACCCTAAGATTCTTGTTCATGACACCACTGCTAGGTTAGGAAAGCTCAACCCTTTTTTTTAATGGTTGTAATAGGTTTTGTTGTGTGATGCAATCCTTCATTTATTCGTGATTCTGGCTTGTTTGGTTAATTATTATTTTCTTACTTTGGCTTTGCTGACTCTTTAGGAATTTCGATGCACAAATGGCAAGCGAGCAGCAACCAATTTCTGAGGTAAACTTTTTTTATTTTTTTTAATTTTGGTTTGACCACATGGTGTCTTGAGTAAGCCCTAACTATAGGAGGCACCTTTAAGCCTGTACCATACTCAGACTAATCCCTGTTTGCACCAGACCGACCCAATTAAGGGGCGAAGTGCTGGCCATATTGGTTTTTCCATACGAGAAGGGGTTTTGAACTCCTAACTTCTCTTAAAGAATGAACTAAGCTAGTTTGATAAGATGGTATTTGGCTTTATATTGGATTGATTTTGGAGATTTTTTAGGATGATTGTTGATTGTTCACTTATACCCAATCCAGGATGATGATGTTGAAATTGAGTATGTTGAGGAGAACCCGATTGTGAACATCGACAGTCCTGATGAAAAGAATGTCCTTGCTGTTGTCGAGTATGTTGATGACATACATGCTTTCTACAAGAAAATAGAGGTGAGACATGATTCCCACTATTCCCGAACACTTATCAGAACTCGGATTTATCTAAATATGTAGCTTTGGAGACAACTGCTTACGTGTTATAGATACATTAAGTCTGATATGTATATGCAGTATGCTTCATAAGATGTAGGTATTTCTACTGTCATACGTCAATGGTTATTTGCATCTTCATTTTTGGGGTGACGAGGGAAACCTGCAGTCACTACTCGAGGGTGTGCGTTGGGTAAATCCCGCCTTGTGACCCTAGCCAGCAGAGGACCACAAGGAGGTAAACCAACCTAGGTTGCTCATAGCTGACGGGCTCAAACCAAGAAGCTTAGGATTTGAACTCGTGAACTTGTGGTTATAAGTTTGTATTCTTAGCCATCTTGGATGGGGTTACCCTCTATTTGCATCTTCATTGTCGTGATAGACTATCGCCTACCTATGTTTGATTAAATCCGACATGTATAAGCACTATGTTTGTCCATCTGTTCTCGAAAGATAGTTAACGCCAGTTGCTGTGACTATGAGCCGAAGTGTGTAAGAAATATAAATAGTTTCTGCATTTTTTTTACAGAATTTGAGCTCCGTGCTCCCATACTACATGAATCTGCAACCCGCTATTAATGAAGGAATGAGGAGTATTCTGATTGACTGGCTGATCCAGGTATATTACAAACCTATTTTGCCTTTGTGCATTGCCGTTTTGTAGCTTAGCTAACGCTATATCTATCGAATGTGTAGGTGCATAAAAAGTTTAAACTGATGGATGGGACGTTGTACCTCACTGTGAACCTCGTCGATAGGTTCTTAGCTGTCGAACCAATAAGTAGAGAAAATCTGCAGCTGGTTGGGATTACGGCAATGCTTCTCGCCTGCAAGTATGAAGAAGTATATGCCCCGACTGTAAAGGACTTCATGTTGATTACTGACAACGCTTACCGTAGACAAGAAGTTATCAACATGGTAATTATTTTCGATAAAAAACAAATAGAGTTAATGCCATCTTTTGAGTATAGTGGTTTTGTCACGTTTAGTCCTAAACTTTCAAATTAACCACTCATGGTCCCGTGATCCTTCAACTTTCAACTTAACCACCAGTGGTTCTTCAACTTTCAAATTTTAACCAGCTGTGGTCCTTCTGAAAGGACGACTTTGCCTTTACTTTACTTCTGATAGGACCACGACAAGTTAAAATTTGAAAGTTGAATGATCACGGGTGATTAACTTGAAAGTTTATGACTAAATGTGGCAAAACCAGTATACTCGGAGGACCCCAAATAGCATTAAGTCAAAAAAATATTAATCAATTTTCTCGTTTTTTTTTTTTTTTTTTGCAAAATGATATCCTAATCCTTCGTTTTTCTCCAATCATTTTAACTTCGACTGCATTCCTTTCTGACAGGAGATACTAATGGCAAATACCTTGCAATTCAACTTCTCGGTTCCTACACCGTATGTGTTCATGATGAGGTTCCTTAAAGCTGCGCAATCTGATAAGGAGGTTTGTTGGAAAACCACCGATAAAAACTAAATTTTCTCATCGTACCAACCTAGTCTATAACATGTTATAACGGTTTTTGTCTGATTTTAAAACAGCTGGAATCCGTATCTTTATTCCTCCTCGAGCTCTGCCTCGTGGAGTACCAAATGCTGAGGTTCCCGCCTTCTGAGCTAGCAGCTGCCGCAGTTTTCACTGCCCAATGCACGATCACTGGCTCCAAGCAGTGGAGCAAAACAAGCGAGAAGTACACCAACTACGCTGAACATCAGCTCCTGTAAGTACCCACCCTCTATCTTCAGGATATATCAATACTTTCGTGGTGGAGTGATGTAAACTAACCGTAACCTGTCCCGATAACACAGGGAGTGCTCGAAAGCGATGGTTACCCTCCACGAAAACGCTGGATTCGGGGAGCTTACTGGGGTGTACAGAAAATACGACACCTATAGGTTTGGCTTTGCATCTAGATATGAACCCGCTTTCTTTCTCTCGGATGCATGATTTCAAGCAGACACCATTGTTGGACACAACTTTTGTTTGGTTTGGACTATGGACGAAAGTTCAATTGTCTATTGAACAACAATAAAATGTTGTCCTCTGGGCATGGTATGAACAATTTACTCAAAGGTTATTATCTCAGACAGGAAACTTTGTTTGATAGTAATCTGTGCTACTGAGTATGAATAATTGTGTCAGGATTTCTTCCTGCAAACTAAAATTTGAATTTTTATTTTTGTTAATCGCTGCACCATATTTGACTTTTATTTACTCCGTATTTTTTAAATAGAGAAAATGGCATATTTTTTTTTGGCAATTTATATCGTGGATCAGGGTCTACAGTGCACTGTGGACCATGGTCTAATAGACATAATTTGACTTCATAAGGTATAGAATTGATGTTCATAATGTGCAGAATTCATGTTCATAATAAACATGATATAATGAACATGAATTCTGTGTATTCTGTGTCGTCAAGCTATATAATACAATGTACATAATTAATGTTCATAATGCATTGAATTCATGTTCATTATATCGTGTTTATGTGTATGTGTATTATGAACATGAATTCTGTGTATTGGACCAGGGTTCACAGTGCACTGTGGACCCTGGTTCACGATATAGCGATTGAATTATTTTTTGTCCGGCCATGAGTGTTCAATCATTATTGTGTGGAGGGTAGACCATATTTTGTATACTGTAAAATAATGTATATTCAGTACAAAAATAATGTACATTCAGTACAAAAGTAATGTACATTGTATTTAGGGGATGTACATTATTTTCGTACTGAGTGTACATTATATTGTATAATGTACATTCAGTACAAAAATAATGTACATTTAGTATATTAAAAATGTACTTTTTGTTATGGTCTGCATAACATTGTGTGGACCATGGTCCACAGAATAATTTACCTGGGACACGTTCTGAGCAGACCTTAACTATAAGAGGCACTTTTAAGCTCGTACCATATTCAGACTAATCCTCATTCGCACCTGCTTGGCCCAATTAAGGGGCAAAGTGCTGGCCAAATTGATTTTTTTCATATGAGAGCAGGTTCGAACTCCCGACCTCTCTTAAGTGGCAAATTATATCGTGCACCGCGGCAATTATGCACCGCACGTCAGACATTACAATGTGTCTAAATCGACACTGTCAAAACGACGTCGTTTTATTTAATGAAAAGAAACAGAATCTTCGCAAAAAATAACTCTGTTCTTCAGTTTCATTTTGTATACACTACAGTTTTAGTTCAACACAACTACAGTTTCATTTCGATATAACTACAGTTTCATTCAATATTTCTACACTCAAATATGTGAAAATGTTATTTAATTTTATTTTATATACACTATAATTTCATTAAAACACAACTACATGATCATTTGAATATAATTACAGCTTCATTGTACAATATACACTTAAATATGTGAAATGTTATTCAGTTTCATTTTATTATACTGTAGTTTCATTTCACCACAACTACAGTATCATTTTGATATAACTGTAGTTTCATTTGATAATATGAAAATAATACGTGAGCCAGTGTCGGTTTAGACACACTGTAGTGTCTGACGCGCGGTGCATAATCGATTATGCGCCGCGGTGTACGATATAACAACCCCTCTTAAGGGATGAGAGTGCACGGCCACTCACGCCAACCAAGTTAGTTAAAAAATGACATATTTGGTCCTTCAGTTGTACTCGATTATAATTTCAATTCCTCAATTATTGTTGTATTTATTTTGTCTCTCAATTATGCTCAAGCCATTTTTGTTTTGTTTTTTTTTTGTTTTTTTTTTTGGTTTTTTTTTTCCCATTAATATTCCATTAGATTTAGATGGGAATTAAAGAAAAAAGTGTAAATGATGGGGCTAAATATGAGATTTTGATTTCTTCTTTTCATTATTATGCAGATATTCACACAATTTTAGTGCATTTATTTGACAAAGTTGCAAATTCTTATAATATTCTGTCAAATTTTGGTGGAAATTAAAGAAAAACGTGTAAATGATAGGGCTAAATATGAGATTTTGATTTCTTCTTTTCATTATTATGCAGCCATTCACACAATTTTAGTGCGTTTATTTGATAAAGTTACAAATTCTTATAATATTCTGTCAAATTTTGGTGGGAATTAAAGAAAAACGTGTAAATGATAGGGCTAAATATGAGATTTTGATTTCTTCTTTTCATTATTATGCAGCCATTCACACAATTTTAGTGCGTTTATTTGACAAAGTTACAAATTCTTATAATATTCTGTCAAATTTTGGTGGGAATTAAAGAAAAACGTGTAAATGATAGGGCTAAATATGAGATTTTGATTTCTTTTTTTTTTCATTATTATGCAGTCATTCACACAATTTTAGTGCGTTTATTTGACAAAGTTGCAAATTCTTATAATATTCTGTCAAATTTTGGTGGGAATTAAAGAAAAACGTGTAAATGATAGGGCTAAATATGAGATTTTGATTTCTTCTTTTCATTATTATGCAGCCATTCACACAATTTTAGTGCGTTTATTTGACAAAGTTACAAATTCTTATAATATTCTGTCAAATTTTGGTAGGAATTAAAGAAAAACGAGTAAATTATAGGGATAAATATGAGATTTTGATTTCTTCTTTTCATTATTATGCAGCCATTCACACAATTTTAGTGCATTTATTTGATAAAGTTGTAAATTCTTATAATATTCTGTCAAATTTTGTTGGGAGTTAAAAGAAAAACGTGATAGGGGTAAATATGAAATTTTGATTTCTTCTTTTCATTATGAGACAGGCATTCATGCAATTTATTGTTAAATAAATTTACTAGAATATTGAGTAGGTTTGTTTCATACAGGGAGGAAAAGAATAAAATATACTTTGTTTTAAAATACATTTTCCAAGCTAAGACCTTATGGTATAATGGCACCAAAGTTGCACGACATTGATTCTTTGTGTTTTAGTAGGATAGTTTATGAATGGATACTACATTGTAATAGAATCGGTAGCATTCAAAAAAAAAAAAACATTTTTCAACATCAAGATTTTAATAGATTTTTACGAAGTAATATATATATATATATATATATATATATATATATATATATATATATATATATATATATATATAGTAATATAGTACTGCGTAATTATTACAAAAACTATATTAAAACAATTTATTATTTTACTATATTAGTAAGAGAATTAATTAGGAAAATGTTATAATCGTGTGTGTACATATATAGTAATTATTACAAAATTAATGTATATAACAATTTGTAGTAATATACATGGTAATATATAGTTGATAACATGTATATGATTTTGGATAGTAATCACTCAAGTTATTTCTAATTTAAATTTTTGTAATATTTAGTTTAGTATTAAATATTAATATATATATATATATATATATATATATTAAAGTATTAAATATTAATACATATATTAAAGTATTAAATACTAATTTAAAGTATTAAATATTAATATATATATATATATATATATATATATATATATATATATATATATATATATATATATATATAGAATTACAATCGTATGAGAACCCATCTTTAGGTAGGAACATAGGAACTAATCTAAGCCGTTTATTTAAATTAATCTACGGTGTATGTTTTATTATTTTTAAAATTTAGTTTTACGGTGGATTGTTTTTTATTTAGGCGGGTAGGGGTAGTATAGTCAGGTCCAGTGCGCGTGGAGGGTTTTTTCGTTTTTATCGCTGAGATTTTGCTATCTCACTATTGCTGGAGTTGTCCGAGAAGGTCGAAGCTCTCCAGAGTCCTTCACAGCGTCGTCTGCGTCGATTGGAGTCCCGTCTGAGATGGCCGGCACCGATGCTCGGAACCCTAAGCGCCCACGGCCGGCGGCGAGGTCGGCCGCTGCTTCAGGTCGGTTTTTGCCCTTTTTTTTTTTTTTTTTTTTTTTTTTTAATTTCGGATTCCTGTGCCTTTGTGTGTATTCTTTTGATATTTGAGTTGTGTCTTTGTTTGCATTTTTTTTGTCTTCACGTGTCAGTGTTGATTTTGGTGTTGTTGCTTTGCCGGTGGGGATGTTTTTTTTTTTTTTTTGGGTCTTTGGGGGTTGGTTGGGTGGTGGTGCCGATTACTGTGGTGGCTGTGGGGTGTCGCCGTGTTGGGTTTTACAGTGGAGGGTGGGTCTTGGTTGGGGGTTTTGCCTATACTGTGGTGGGTTTTGGTGGGGCGGGGGTGCCGTCCTTTGTCTTTCAGGGGGGAGTCTGGTTTTGGGATGGGTGGGGGACTACCGGTGGGGCGGGGTGTGGTGGCACCTGTTTATTTATTTTTTATTTTTTTTTTGTGCATCGCTCCTGGGTTCAGCAATAGCATTAGAAATTTCATCAATAACTGTATTGAGGATGGATACCATTCATCTGGTCCATTCAATCACTATCCCATTTAGATGATCAAACAACATTCATGATTCATTGCATGTTCTTGAGAAAAGAGAATGATGAAGAAAACATCAACTGTTAACTAAAACCATCAAATATGGATTGGTATATGCACTCCACTAATAAGCAAACTAAGATTTTATTTCACAAACTCTACATAATGTTTGGGACACAACATGAAATTGAAAGGGGTAAGGGGTAGGGGGTACAATAGAGACTACCAGTTCTAAAGCTAAAGAAAACAGAAGAAAAAGGCAAGCAAACCAACATAATATTTAATACAGTAGCAGAAAGCTCCAATAAGCCTAGTTATGATATAATAGGGGAATGATGATTCTTTACTGCTTTGCATATTCAATTTTATTTGCAATCTTGTTCAAAACAACATATTAAATTTGTTAATGTTCCTAAGTTTTCCTATTTAACTGTTTTTTTTTATTTTTTTATTTCATGAGGCCTAGTGATTCATTTGATTAGTTCCTGAATTTCAATTTAATTATCTTGCACTTGAGAGTTGATTCTTATCTTTGATCTACATTTTTAGCATTTTAAATTGTTAATTTAATTATTTTATCCTACTTTGACATTTGATTCTAGTACTTTAAATTATCAAGTCAATTATTTTTATGTTAAGTTTAGTCAATTGTTTCTTGCATTTTTATTGTTTTTTTGATTAGTTTTTGCTTTTTCTTTATTGCGTATCGTTATGTACTATTTTCTGCAGATTTTTTGCTTGCAAATTTTTTGCTTCGATTGAAACTACGGTACCTTCTCTTGTATTCTTGTACGGAGAATTATCCCTAGGAGAATGCAG